GGGCCTGGAAGGGTGAGATGGTTGCTAGCAGCTCCACAAAGACCCAGGACAGCTTCATCTGAGTCGCAGTGTGATGAGGCTTGCTCAGACAGCTGTGGTCAGACCTGCATTCCACACAGCTCTCCATCCAGAACAACCCAGCTATGGGCGAAAAAGGTGAAGGGATTCAGAAGTACAAAGTAATCCTTACAAAATAGTCACAGGGATGTAAAGTAGAGCATAGGGAATATAGTCAATAATATTGCAATAACTAGGTATGGTGTCAGATGGGTCTAGGTTTAGCTGGGTGATCACTTCGTAAGATAAATAAATATCTAATCACTATGTCGTATACCCCAAACTAATACAATGTTGTATGTCAAGTATAATTGAAAAAAAAAATTTAAAGAGAGAAAAAGGAAAACAAAGTACAACCTGACTAGTTCTGAATCCAGTGCCTCCCTAGATTATAGCTGATTCCAAATTCTGTTTCATTGCTGGGCGGGGGGGCGGGGGCGAGCAGGAAGGGACTGGAATGTTTAGCTGGGCATGTATCTACAAAGTAGGGAAAGGACAGACAGCATCAGCTAAGGAGCCAAATCAGGACCAATGTCTAAAAGGCACGTGTCAACAGATGTGGAGAAACTTTCTAAAAAACGGAATTGTAGCCGACACTATTGGTAGCTGTTTTTACATTCTTAATGTTGAAGGCAAAAATAATTGAACTTATATTAAAAAGGAACAAACAGCTGGCCTGTGTGGCTCAGTGGTTGAGTGTCGACCTATGAACCAGGAGGCCATGGTTTGATTCTGGTCAGGGCACGGGTCGGCCCAATTTCCTGCTATTCTCTGTATGTGCTGTGCAGAATAGCATTGCGGTGGCATGGCCTGGTGGTTGCCTGCCCACAGGTGGAGGGGAGCAGGAGCTCCCAGCCCTCAGATGAGCCAGCTTAGGGTGGGCAGGCATTATTTAAAAACCTGCTTGTGTGCTTCTGTTGGTGGTGAAACAGCACCAGAATGTCACCGGCGACTGGACCTGAGTTCAGAGATCTCAGTTCTTGAGTTCTGGCTAAGAAATAATTCAGATACAAGACTCAAATTGTAAGAGGAAGTTTATTTAGAAAGTTACAGAAGTAGGAAGTGAGCTAGCTGGGTGTGAGCTCAGGAAACAAATTACAGAGGCCAACGATGAGCCCTTGGAGCTTAGGAAAGAGAAAGGTAAAGGTAAAGCATGGGGGGAAGAGGTGGGGGAAGGTGTGCGCCAGGGAGGGAGAGGGCACTGGGCCATCCGTCTTGAGGGTATGTACCTGGAGGTCTCAGGGGAGGATCCCAATAGAGTATTCATCAGCTTTCCAGGTGTGTCCTTTCAGGGTCATGGTCTCTGCTGATTGGTGGCCCCAGGGCAGAGGTCATTAGTCAATGCAGCTGGTCCTGATCTCAGCTACCACATCACCTGTCTTGTTTTGCTACTTTTCTGGGCCTGGAGCTGAAACACAACTGAGGCCTAGGGGTTAATGCTGAAGGGAGGGGTCCAGCAAGGGCCTACATGGGAGTTGAATGAGGCCACTCTTCGGCCCTTGTTCCTCCTCTGAAGGGGACTACCACGTGACTAGTGACATGCCAGGGGAGGGAAGGTCAGGGGAGGGTCCGAACCTCATGACCAGCGATATGAAAGGTCAGGGGGTCCAAACCATATGACAGATGAGGCACTTGGAACACAGAGAGGTTACGTGATACACTAGGGGAGGAAAGGTTACCTTGGGGGTGAGGTCCTTGTTTTCCCAAATTTGCCTGTTGCTAGGCACCCAGAGCTTTCTGCCTTGGTGACCTTCTGTACCTGGCCCATCATCCTTGCTCTGCTCAGGTCTGTCTAACTGCCTCCCACGGTTCTCTGACATCAGGGGCAGGTGTTGGAGGAGGCATGGGCAAACAAGTAAGAAGGTTGGGGCAGGAGAAGGCAGCCTTGGGAAGAACATTGGCTGCCAGTAACCCACAGAGGCCCTGCTGTAAGAAATGTCACTTACTTACTGACTGCATGTACACTAAAGGTCCAGTTCACAGACACTGTCTCTCATCTTCACAACATAATACAACCGATTTCCAAATTTCAGACCAGTAAGAGAGGCTCTGAGAGGTTAGGTGACTTGCTTAACAACCCAATCAGGATGCAGCCAAGTGGGCACTCTCCACAGGGTGATCTACACTTCCACAGGTAGAGATGCGCACCTGTTAGAGTCCTCACATCCCCAATAGCATCCCTTCCTGGTCTTATCATCTCTCTTCTTTGGCATACCATGGCCAAGAGGCAATTATCTCCAGAAAGGCTTTGTGGAACTGTGTAATCAGTGAAGTTACTGGAGCAAGCCATTCTCTGGAGAGGCTCTGGAAGACTCCAGCTGGCCGTGAAGAGCCCAAGACCTGTGAGTTGGCGATAAAGGTGGAGAGCAGGTGGAGGCCCAACCCTAGGAACCTGGGAACAGCACTTGTGGGATGGTCTCTACTGGGGCCCCAGCCATGTGGGGAGGGGAAAGAGGAGGAGAAAGTCTGGGAAACCCCTCCCACCCTGAGAGGAGGCCCCAGGTGCCTGCCTGTGTGGTGGGGGCCCCCTGAAAGACCAGCTTCCTAAAGCAGGGTGATAAAGCCATGATTTTGCCCACGCACCTCAGATATATGCTCACTAGTAACATGACAAATAGGCTTAGTATTTATGACAGCATCACCTCGGGTTTTATGGGGTATTTTTGCTCCAGAAACTCGACCCGCTTTCATATAGAGCTGCTCATTTCCTGCTCACAAAGCTGGCTTCGGGACTCCTATAATTATCAACATTTTATAGTTGGAGAAACCGGCTATAATGAAAAGGAGGATGTGCTGAGAAACAAAAGCAGTCCCAGGTCCCTGCTCAGCTGGCCCACGGTTAAGATCATCTTCGAGAAGAATTAGGTTGGGCCATACCTCACCCTAACCAAACCTTTAACACTCACCGGGGGCCTTCTCTTTGTAGAAGGAGTCTAGGTGCCTTCATTTACTAGCTTTCTGGCTACTCAGCTCTGTCAGCCTCCTTCCTGAGCTATGACATCAGGATAGTTTGCTCCAGAATAGTGCTGTTCAATAGGAATACAATGTGAACCACATAGGTCATTTACAATGTTCTAGTAGCCACTGCTAGTCTAGAAGTTACTTAAACAGTTAACAGAAACAAGTGAAATTAATTTCAAAATATATCCAAAATATTTTGATATGTAATTAATATACAAAATCAGTAATGGAGCGTTTCACATTCTTTTAACTTATGGAATCCATGGGATCCTCTGGGTATTTCACACTGAAAGCACATATCAGTTCAGACTACCCACGTTTCACGTGTTCTATATTCACACGTGGCTGGTGGCGCCGGGCCTGGACTGCCCAGACCTGTAAGATTTAGCTGAGGATGAGGTGACACCGTGTATGTAAGGCACTCGTACTTTGGCTGAAGCCATCCCCTTCCCCCTCTCTGCCACACACGCTCGCACAATTTTCCACATGTAAGTGGCCTTTACAAGGACCCAAGACCCAAAGCAGACAAATCCGGCACTGCGTCCCCTTTCCTAGCCCCTCCCAAACCGACCACCTTCCTGACACGCAGAAGGGGGAGCCGCCCACCCTCCCTCCTTGTTTTCCTTGAAGCCAGCTGCCTGCCCATCGTTCTCACCGGGAACACTCACTCCTCCCCACTTGCAGGCCCCCTGGGTTCATAATCGCCACGAATCCCCCTCTACCCCCCCCCCCCCGGGACCCCCGGAAACACCACCACCACCGGAATCGAAAGAAAAAACAGGTTCAGGAAAGTGAAAACCTCAGCGAGCCGCTGTAGACTCCACTGCAAATTCTGGGCTCCCCACTCCACAAGGGTGCTCGGTGCCTCTCGCCCTCCCCGGCCCGGGAGGCAAGGACCCTGTTTGGAGGCAGCCACTCCTCCGGGTCCCAGGACCCAGGTCTCCAACGCCCCTCAGGGACCCGGAGGGGTGGGGATTCGGCTTTCCTGAATAACCCAGTGCAGGGTATGGTGGCACCGGGGTCGGGGAGCGGACGGCTGGCTGGGTCGGAGGCCCTGGGGTGCCGGGTCTGGGTTCCTTCCGTGGACCCTGTGGGCGCTACGACCAGCCGGACCCCGGCACCTCGCACCGCGCCCCGGCTCCCCCTCGCGGTGCCGCAGTCTCGGGCGCGCCGCCCCCCGCAGGTCCGCCCCCCATTACGTCAGCGCAGGCCGGGCGGGTCCGTCGGCATAAAAGGTGGAGCCCAGGCGCACCCGCAGGTTTCAGGGCTCCAGTACCCGGTCCCGCCGCGCTCCCAGTCCCGAGGTCCAGCGCCTCCACCCGCTCCGCAGCCGGCACCATGCGCGAGATCGTGCACATCCAGGCGGGCCAGTGCGGCAACCAGATCGGCGCCAAGGTGGGCGCGTCCCCGAAGAGGGGGCCTGGAGGGGGCGGCGGACCCCGTGGGTGGCAGCGGGTCCCGAGGGAGCGAACCGGGCCGGGGGTGGCAGCGGGCCCCGAGGGTGCGGGCCGGAGTGGCAGCGGGTCTCCGGAGTACCCGCCGGGCCAGCGGCGCATTTTCGGGGCGGCCGCCCGCGGGCTCCGGAAGCCGCATCACCTGCTGCGATCACCCGTGACGCAGCTGCAAGTGCCTTTAACCGAGGCCCTTTGAAATTTCCTCGGAACCGACCTTCAGCTGCGTGAAATTGGCATTTCTCTGGGTGTATTAGTCTCTGAAATTTGGATAGAGGCTGCGGCCGTATCAATCCAGAGGCCTCATGTGGAATTTAATTGGGATATTTTTGTCTATAGTTTGAATGAAAAAATTGCAGTGTCATTGAAGTGACAGATGTTATGCAGACTACTTGTTGGGATACAGAGACGGAATGTTAGGTCATTTCCCCAATCCGAGCACCTTCTGCATGGTAATATATGCCAGTCTGGCTTCCTGGCTTCCTGGCTCCCAGGCGGCAGGTGACGGAACTGGGGCTGCCTTACCCCAGTGGGCGAGGCCGGAGCGGCGTGGTGCGGGGGTGTGGGCGGCATCTGAGGGAGGACAGGTCTCTGTCGGAACCGCCATGTTCCCACCCAGCCTCCCGGTGCCAGGGCCCTGCGCGCCGGCTGGTCTTCCCTGGTCGATTGCACCCACGGGTCTGCCTGGTCCGCGCAAGGGAGCCCAGACCCAGCACCAAGGGCCTCCGACCCAGCCAGCCATCCGCTCCCCGACCCGACCCGCGGTGCCGCCCTTCCTGCTGCCAGTTCACAATGGAATCTGCGCTCTCACCAGGGATCACCTCCTCTCACTGCCCCAGCCCTGTCTCCAGACTCCTCCCTTTCCCTCTCCACCCAGTCCCCATGAGCTCAGTGGCCAGAGGCCAGTATGGATGCCAGGGGCATAAAACTGCACACTTGGAGGGCTGGGTGGGGCTTGTGCCAGGAGACATTGATTCCCAACGCAGCCACAGGGTGGGATCCAACTGGGTCTGGGTCTTGCCAAGACCCATACATCAGCCTGGACGCTGGGACTTCAGCCCTGCCTGGGGGTGCCAGCCTCCCCAGCACCCACAGCTCCTCCAGGAGACCTGCTGTGCCCACCCTCTTCCTCAGGCCCCTCCCAGCTCTTCAGTCTATCCCCATCACATGGCCCATGCTCTGCCGGTTTCCAAGCCCCTCAGCAGCCTCTGCTGGAGGGACAGGGGTGCTCAGCTTCCTGGTCTGTCTGGGACTCCTTGACCATCTGACCACCATGGCCCCTGCCCCAAGGGCATCAGAGAAGAAAAGGGCCGTCCTTACTGATGTTTAGGAAGCCAGGCCATCATGTGATTTTTTTAAATTTAAATTTCCAGTTTTGGGAGGTCATCAGTGATGAGCATGGGATCGACCCCACTGGCAGTTACCATGGAGACAGCGAGCTGCAGCTGGAGAGAATCAATGTGTACTACAATGAAGCTGCTGGTGATTATCTGAATGTTTTTTGCTTTTCTTCCAACCTTGCTTTCCATACTGGGGCAGATGCAATGCACTAGGAACATACACATGACAGAGAAATGCTTCTTGCATTCATTTAAAATGTCAGCTGCTAAAGAACACACTGCAGTTCCTTAAGACCCTGCATGTTTGCCATGGCCAAGCTTGCTCATTGGCTCCTTTATGAAGCAGCAATGCTCCCCTATTCTTGTCCTTTTGTGTCACACGCTGGAATGAGCTCTAGTGAACTCTGCTATGAAAGGCGCAGAGAGCACCAGCTTGTCTGATTCCTTTGCCACCGCAGGTCTAAGTCCAGCTCTTCCTCCCCGCAGGTAACAAGTACGTACCTCGGGCCATCCTGGTGGACCTGGAGCCGGGCACGATGGACTCGGTCAGGTCTGGACCATTCGGCCAGATCTTCAGGCCCGACAACTTCGTGTTTGGTATGTTGTCATGATCAATGGGAACTGGCTCAGGGAGTCTTCTTCCTAAACACTGTGGAAATCAGAGTTTTTCGTGTTGAGTGCCAAGGTGGACACTGTGTGTCCACAGAGCCCTGAGTCGTGGCCTCATTCCACCCAGTCCATGGGCCGTGACTGTCCAGATGGCTCTAAGAGCACTGTCAGCCTGCAGGGGCTGTGGTAGGTAGTCCCTGAACCACAGAGCACCCTGTGAGGGGTAAGGAATGAAGGCGATGAACAAACTTCCAGCGGGAGTTACTAGGCTATTGGTAAGTTCAGAGGGCCCGTCACAGTAGGTGGCCACTCCAAGAAGCAAAGGCACAGGAGTGAGCACCTGCTTAGAGCCGGTGTTCTCCTCTGATCTCATTGTGCCTTTGCTCTTGCCTGGTAATGGGGCCTAACTTAAGTGTTGTTGTTTTTATTTTTATTTTGGGGGGGGGAATAAGAGAACATTTATTAGGTAAATTATAGAGGTATTAAAAGTAATTCCCAAAAGGAATTGGCTTAGGAAACAAGTTATTCAGGTAAAGGAAGAGCCCTTAGAGCTTGGAAGTGAGGAAGCTAATGGTAAAGTGCCTGGAGGCGAGAGAGGGAAGGAAAGAGAAAGACAGTGCAGGGGGCGCTCCCTTGAGGGACTGCACACTGGGTCCTCCATCCTAAGGGTTTTAAGGGTGGGGATTTTAGGAGAAGTCCCAGGGGTAAATCTCAGTAGAATATTCAGCAGCTTTCCAGGTGTGTCCTTTCAGGGTTGTGGTTTCCACTGACTGGTGGGCACCAGGGCAGGGGGTCATTATTCCGTGCAGCTGGTCCTGAGGTCAGCTGTGACTGCATTGGTTGCTTATCTGGTCCTGGAGCTTAAATACAACTGAGGCCCACATGTTATCTTCAGGGAGGAAAAGTCAGGGTGTCCAAACCTCAAGACCACAGTTATGCTAGAGGAAAAGTCACCCTGGGGGCCACATCCCACCCTACAATTGATTGTCCACTGTTAGATACCCGGGGCTTTAAGTATTTTGATTTTAAATATATTTTTATTGATTTCAGGGAGGAAGAGAGCGAGCGAGAGAGAAACATAAATGATGAGAGAGAATCATTGATTGGCTGCCTCTTGCATGCCCCACGCTGGGGATCGAGCCCTAAACTTGGGCATGTGCCCTGACCCGGAATTGAACCATGACCTTCTGGCTCATAGGTTGATGCTCAACCACTGAACCTTAGTCTGGCTAAGTTTTTTGTTGTTTTTTTTAAATCCTCATCTGAGGATAATGTTTTTATTGATTTGAGAGAGAAACATCGATGTGAGAGAGAAACGCCAATCCATTGCATCCCATATGCGCCCCCAACAAGGGATTGAACCCAAAACCTAGGTGTGTGCCCTGTCAGGGTATAAGGGACAAAGTTCCAACCAACTGAGCCTTAATTTAAGTTTTATATAATGTTGTCATTCTTAAATTCTCTGTCCTTAAGAAATAGTTTTGTTCAACTAATAACCTCGTTTGAACTAAACTCATTTTAGTTCACCTCCAGTGTTTTTCAAGGTCACTGATATAGAGAAATTTTCGTAGATAAGAAAAGGCATCTAGTGCAGAGTCAAAATGGCAGAACTCTGAATTCCTTATGGTTCCCTGTCTAATACTGTCCTTTCTCTCTGGCAGGCCAGAGCGGGGCCGGGAACAACTGGGCAAAGGGCCACTACACAGAGGGCGCCGAACTGGTAGACTCAGTCCTGGACGTGGTGAGGAAGGAGTCAGAAAGCTGTGACTGTCTGCAGGGCTTCCAGCTGACCCACTCGCTGGGGGGTGGCACCGGGTCGGGCATGGGCACGCTGCTCATCAGCAAGATCCGGGAGGAGTACCCAGACCGCATCATGAACACCTTCAGCGTGATGCCCTCGCCCAAGGTGTCGGACACGGTGGTGGAGCCCTACAACGCCACGCTGTCCGTGCACCAGCTGGTGGAGAACACAGATGAGACCTACTGCATCGACAACGAGGCCCTGTACGACATCTGCTTCCGCACCCTGAAACTGACCACGCCCACGTACGGGGACCTCAACCACCTGGTGTCCGCCACCATGAGCGGGGTGACCACCTGCCTGCGCTTCCCCGGCCAGCTGAACGCGGACCTGCGCAAGCTGGCCGTGAACATGGTGCCCTTCCCCCGCCTGCACTTCTTCATGCCCGGCTTTGCGCCGCTGACCAGCCGGGGCAGCCAGCAGTACCGCGCCCTGACGGTGCCCGAGCTCACCCAGCAGATGTTCGACTCCAAGAACATGATGGCCGCGTGCGACCCGCGCCACGGCCGCTACCTGACGGTGGCTGCGATCTTCCGGGGCCGCATGTCCATGAAGGAGGTGGACGAGCAGATGCTCAACGTGCAGAACAAGAACAGCAGCTACTTTGTGGAGTGGATCCCCAACAACGTGAAGACGGCCGTGTGCGACATCCCGCCGCGGGGCCTCAAGATGTCGGCCACCTTCATCGGCAACAGCACGGCCATCCAGGAGCTGTTCAAGCGCATCTCGGAGCAGTTCACGGCCATGTTCCGGCGCAAGGCCTTCCTGCACTGGTACACGGGCGAGGGCATGGACGAGATGGAGTTCACTGAGGCCGAGAGCAACATGAACGACCTGGTGTCCGAGTACCAGCAGTACCAGGACGCCACGGCTGATGAGCAGGGCGAGTTCGAGGAGGAGGAGGTCGAGGAGGAGGCTTAAGAACTTGTCAGAGACACCGTGCCACGTCAGTGAATTTCTGTTGTCCTCAGTGAAGCATGGTCTTTCTATTTGTATCTATGGTGCTCAGTTTTGCCTCTGTCAGAAATTCACACTGTTGATATACTAATGTGGCACGCCTCTAAAAATTAAGGTATATACTATACTAATTAAAACGCATGTGTCCAATATCTTGTGGTTTCTTTATTTTTATTTTTTTCACTACATTTTTGACTGTTTTTGGGTTTAGTAATTTTAACAAAATAGAATTTGTATTTAATGTTTTAATAGTTCTTTTAATAAAGAGATAAAAAATATTTTTCCATCTTCACCGGTTCAAAGTATTAAAGTAAAGGAATCCAGCAAAGGTAAGGGAGTGAATGGGGATTTGAGGATAAAGCAGACTTTCTTCCCTTTGTTGGAGTTAGAGCAACCCGGACCTTAGGCAAGGACTTTCTTCTATGAACTTCCTTTACACAAAGTGATAATACAACTAAAAGGACTAGTGACCCCTTGTACCTCTCAGATAAAAAGTACAGCATGAGTTCAAGGTGCCCTAAAATAGTAGTCAGGAGCACTACAAATGCTCATCTAAGATTTATTCGCAAATAAAGTAAATCATGACAGGAACTTATTTAAGACAATGGCAGAGATTCACAACTTAATGTTAAGAAGTAGTGGAAGGAGGGGCTGGAAACGAGGGCAGGTGCAGGGAGGTGCCATGGGGTGGGTTGCAGGGGCAGCAGCAGCTGAAGCCCAGGCAGCCCAGCTCACGATTCTCGGGGACACTTTCACTGTAAGAAGTCTTCTACTAACTTGTTGAATTCATTTGCAAAACGTAAATGGAGGTTGTGTTTGCCTTCTGGCATCAGATGCAACCTAAAGATAAAAAGCCTATGTTTAATGGCACAGCATTTAAAACCTCTCACCCGCCCCAACATTACCTGAAAATCTATAGTAAAACCTGCTGCATTTTTTCCTGACTACTATTGGGGAGAAGATGTAAGGTACACAGTACACACTTTCCTGAGTATAGACTTACAGTGAAAGCCTTCTGGAGTGTATGACTGCCCCTGAGGCTGACTCCCAGTAACAGAGCACACACGCTGTATTTGGAATTATATCCCATAACAGATGGTTTAACTGAACCTGACTGAGAGGGGCATAGGATTTGGTTATCTAAAAAATAAAAATAAAAAAATTTACTAGCAATATGGTTGATTTTAACGAGGTTAGAAAGATGATAAAATATAGTGTCCAGGAGCCGCTGAATGAGGACAGGTGAGCTGCTTGGGGCATCTATGTAGTGGGAAAACCCAAGTCAATTCAGCCACCTCCAGAGTTGTTCAAGATTCCAAATCGCCTGGCCATTTTGGGAGAACTGAGTAACCCTAAACACAAGCCACTGGACGGAGGGTGAGCAGTGTTCCTCAGGACTGCGGGTGGTGTCAGTCTGCATGGAACCCTGTGCAGCAGTTGTCACTATCTGTCTTTTGTGGCAAACCTCCCTGTCCTAGTATGGCTCCTTCCTTTCAATAGGGTTGTCATCAGATGTGGCTGGCTGGCAATTTCTTTAATAAAGGAAGCCTTCTCTGAGTTCTACATTTTGTTTCTTGGCTATAAAAGCACAGAAATAAAAGTTTTAAACAAACGAAAGCTTCTAGGATATAAGCACACAATTGAGTTGTTCTGCCCACAATGATAATTGGGCATTAATAGGACTATACAGGGACAAAACACCAGTTCCCAAATTGCCTAATTCTCTGGTCTGTCAGCACTTGAGGTCTGAGAGCTCTCGGGACTCAGTGATCACTGGGAGAACTTGTGAAAAGATCCTGCGAAACAGAGCTGTCCTTGCAGCTCAACCACATGGGGGTGGGGGTACCAAGATGATTAAGGCCATTTACTAGAAAGGAGGAAGGATACATTGTTGGCATCTTTCCGAGGCTCTTAGGAAAGTTAAGACCATTTACAGTAACTAGAACATTCCAAATTCAGTTATAATGCTGTTCAGTAAAGAAGGGCAAACTGCACCAACCCAAAGATAGGATCCCAGTTGCCCCATACAAAGGAAGGGCTCGTAGGGATGCTCAAGGCCTCTGTTTTTAGGAGACAGAAGGAAACAGCTGCTAAGGATGCTGAAAGGTCAGGAAGGACATGTCTAGGCTAAACTGCATCCTCTAATGTGTGCTGAGTTGGATTCAGAAGCAAAGACCCCAATCTGCCCAACTTGCAAGTCCTCCTTTGTGGATAGCCATACTGGTTATCATGTGCTCTTCCCCATTTCTGTGATTCATTCACTCAGCACCCCTAATGAGGAAGGAGAGACACCAGCAGTGAATCTCTTCTTTTTCACCTCATTGCTGTCTGAATTCTTCCTATAGTAATCTCTAGGTCTCAGGGAAATAAAAACAAGTCTCTTTCATTAAGAATATGGGAGATCTGAGGCACCTACATTCAGAACTGCACTGAATTATGGATGGATAGACAGACAGATGAGGCTGTAAAAAAAACTGCTCTTCTCCTTGAGACCTTCTGGAGGTCATTTCAAATTCTTTAATACGCCTCCTTTAGGTCTGACACCAAGTCCCTGGACCTGAGGCCTCTGTATGCTTGTCTTTGGGAATAGCACCCTGCCAGGCAGTAGCTAGAGCTGTCCAGGCAACGCAGCAGCTCCACTGCCGGCCTAGGTTCTCACCCAAATAACAAAAGGATCCAATCACATGCTCCATGGAGTGTTTCCAACTATCACATCCCTCAGGAAAGTCAGGAGGAAATCCCCCCACCTCACACATGGTTCAGCTGGAGTTGAAGGACCCCTGAGACGGTACACAGGAGTTCCTCTTTGCTGGGACAGGTTCCTTGTTGCATTTGGCACTTTTAGAAAAAGATGCGATTCTAGATCTTTTGAGAAATTAAAATGTCTAACCTCATAGTATAAGTCCAGTGGTCAGTTTACTTCTGCCTGATACAGTCCTTCCAGGATCTCTTTATAGCCAGGTAACAAGGAGAAAGGATGCTGCGCATCGACCATCCTTTCCTCAGTCCAACCTTCTACAGCTTTCAAATTAAGCTCTGAGAGCTACAGATATGAACAAGACTGTAAATAATGTGCTGTAGCATTCTTTTCCACGTTGATATGATAAAATTCTAAATTATGAACCCACAGAGTCTCCAGTAAGTCTGAGTATTTTTGTTTTAATGGAAAACCAAAGTAGGCTCCTGCCCAACTGCCTTTGAACTGGGCTATCGGCTGTTCACACCTTCAGAGTCAGACTGAAACATCAGCTCTTGTGCTCTTCAGGCCTTCAGAGTCAGACTGGAACCACACCTCTTCTCTCCCGGGCCCCCACCTTCCTAACTCACTCCAGCTTGCTGACAGAAGATCTTGGACCTCTCGGCCTCCCCACTGTGTGAGCCAACTAACACCCCCACACACCTAGACTAATAATGGTGCTGAACATGGGACAGAGGACAACCTGCCTCTCACCTGCTATCGAGCTATTCCCTGGTGTCTCCAGGGGCCCCTGATCACCTGCACCCACACCAGCCTCCCACCCACAAAAGTGGCAGCCACTGGGTGTTGTAAAATGTTCACTCATTCCTCAAAAAATATTTTGAATGATAGCTATCATCCTCATTTTACTTAAAAGGAAACAGGCACAGAAATCCATGTACACTGCCTAAGTGACTGAGCCAGCACTCCCTCCCTCCCCCATTCCTGCTCCTCACCAACACCGCTATGAGTGTTTCTCTGGATCCCAGATACCCAGTCTGCTCTCCTGGCAGGACTCCGTTCCCCACTGCTCCCCTTTGGCTGACACTGGCCCCAGGTGCCACTCTGCGCACGTGGATGTTCCTCCTCATTCTTTCCCATCTGACCTGGCTCTCTGGCCTCAGCCCAGAACATGAAGTTGGAATCCATACCATGCTTTTTGGCCCTGAGTCACCAGTCAGTGACCACTGGCCATCCACAGAGGCTTGGCCCTATATGCCTCTGCTGCTCCCACATTCTCTTTCTTTCAACACGTACTAGACTGCATCCTCGGATAGGTGTTGACATGCTCAACAGGAGGAAAATGAAATTCACATGTTCACCGCTGTATGAAGGTATAAATAAGGAGCTGTATGGCCTCAGGCGGATGAGTAATTGGAGACAGAGGAGGAGAAGACTGAAGGATGAGTACACTTGGCCAGGCAGTGAAGGGGTGAGGGCTAGAGCAGGACCAGGCAAACCGCTGGTCACTTGCAACTGGGTCTCAAATCCAAGTTTCAGATCCTGACTTTTGCTGGCCTCCAATTCCTGAGATCTGAGCACCTTCTCAGAAACAGACTATTATGGACTGAACTGCATCCTCCCAAAATTGTATGTTGAAGTCCTAGCCCCCAGCACAGTGTGACCTTATTTGGATATACGTCTTTAAAGAGGTAATTAAGTTAAAATGAGGTCATTAGGGCTCACACTAATATGGCTGGTGTCCTTATAAGAAAAGGAGATCAGGACACAGACAGGCACAGAGGGAAGACCATGTGAGGACATAGGGAGAAGACGGCAGTCTACAAGCCATGGAGAGAGGCCTCAGAGGAAACCAACCCTACTGACACTTTGATCTCAGACTTTCAGCCTCCAGAACTGTGAGGAAATAAACTTCTATGATCTAAGCCTCCCAGTCTCTGGCATTTGTTTTGGCAGCCCTGGCAGACTAATACACATAATGAGCAGACACAGTTCAACAAGCTGTGGAGTCATCACCTCTTCTGAGAGGTCTGAGCCCCACTGCCTCCTGGGCCCATCACCCCAACTCCAAAGAGTCTGATGCCAGCCTCTCCTCAATGCAAATACTTTGAAAACGAGCTGGGGCTGGCCTCATGGGTGATGCCTGTCTGGGAACAGGAGACGCCCAAGCAGAGGCTGACTAGCTAGACAGGTGGTGAGCGGTGTCAGTGCTTTCCTGTCTCGGAGGGAGGGCCGGACAAGCAGGGATGCACAGGGACTGGGGCAGGACTGGAGACCAAAGGAGCAGGTGTGCTCCCCACCACTATTGTGGTCAGACCGGCTCCTATTTTATGTTTATATCTTGGACTTATGCATAAGATTTGTTGGGAGAAAGGGTTCAACTGCCTAAAAACAAATATTAAAACTGGTGAGCTTGAATGATCTCTAAAGCCTCTTTGCTTCCAAGAGATTCTATCACTGTTCTCCCACAAAGAGAGCAAAGAGAGAGACATTAGCCTGAGCAAGACGCAGGCCTGCTGAACAACCCCACCCTTCATTAACCTCTTTCTGAAGAGAAAAAGGCATTGGTTTCATATTTGATATTTATTTGTTGGTAACATCTTTGAAGGACTGTGTCTTTAAGTACCTGACAAGGTAATAAAACACCAAGTTCCCTGGAGCTTGCTACACTCTGAGTTGCTACACCTGTTGTCAAGTGGCATGGTGTACAGAACCACAGTATGACTTTGGTGCTCAAGGAATCCACCTTCCTTTTATGGGGTTCAAAATAAACCACATCCATCCTAGGCAAATTCATGTCCAACATCAAGGGCTGTTTCAGCAGAGGAAGGGAGTAGGTGTAAACTGCAAGCTAGCTTTAGATAATCACCGCTAATAGCACTTTACCTTCAACGGATTTGTTCCAAAGAATGTTGCTTTAAGAAAAATGATCTTCCATAAAATAGTCTGCTGAAACAACACCAGAACAGTAAGGGAATATTTTTCTCTCATATTGATGTATCCTGTTAGGACACGGGTCTGGAATAGAATTCCTACATTAAACTTCCTTGCAGACTGACCTTTATTGAACCTGGCTGTCCAAGGGAACACGTGCATTTACTATGAGAGTCAGCATACAAAAACCTGTCATTTCTGAAGGTAGAAAACAATTTACCAGAGCAGCAAGTATATAATCCAGGCATCTTACCATCATATTAAAATAAGAGAATGTTTATGAGAGGCAGCTGTGCTGTGGGGGAAAAGCACTATATTAGGAGAAAAACTATAGAATTTGTCTTTAATTGGCTATGCAACCTTAGACGATTACTTAGCATCTCAGCCTTGATATTCTTATTTGTAAAATGGGGACAATATTTCTTTTCCATAAGTTAGTTGTAAAGTATAATTAGATTTTGTATATAAAATGCCTTTTAAAATATAAAATGCTATATAAATATAGACATTATACAGGTTTATGGTAATTATTTATTGTAGAATAAGAAGCATGCCCCCACATTTAAAAGTTCTCTGAGATCCAACCCTGGGAACTGCTTTCAAGGCAGAAGCAGATGCAGTCCAGCAGGATGAGACTTTTCATCTAAAACTAAGCTAATAGATATGAGATGATAGAAATAGCAGTGGGGAAACGTTAGGGGCAAAAATAGAATATTGGGGACTAGCTATGGTTATGGGAAATGTTAATCATGCTCTGTTAACCACGATTGCCTTGTGTTGGTTAAAGAAGGGACATTCTGACCTGGCTGGGAGTTGTATGCCCCTGGGACCTGGGAGTCAACCTTGGAACCATTCTCATTCAAGAACTGCCTATTATCATGGAAAGATTAACAACCTTGTTGCCCAAACAATGGAGTCCCACCCCAGCCTCCTACTTCCCCATGCAACCCCTGTCCTACCTATATAAGCAGCTGGCTTATGGGGGGCGGCAGAGCAGATTTTTGAGGATGACCTGCTGCTCTCCCATACTGCCGGAATAAACAATCATATATGATTCAAAACAAACAAAAAACAAAAGAACAAACAAAAAAAGTTCTCTTAGAAATTTGTTTGTTAAAATATAGCGTGGAATAAATAGTGTGATTAGGAAGCAGTGGAATGGTTTCTGAATCACTTTCCCTGCTGAACTGTGGGCGCTCCCAGGACAGCGCTGGCCCACAGCAGGCATCAGAAGTTGGCTCATGGAGGAAAAGGAGAGAGGGACAGAGGGAGAATGAGAGGAAGGAACAAAGTGGGAGGAAGGAAAGGACAAAAGGAGAGAGCGAATGAGCAGGGAAGGATTTTCTTAGGCTGCTAATAAAAGCCAGTTTCAAAAAATTCCACAGAGTCCCAAAGGTGCCCTGAGTAATGACAGTACCGTTGAAGTTGACATATAGTCTGTGAAGTGGTGGAGGCTCATTGGATGTTTATTTTCCAGTATGTTTGCTTAAAAAAAAAATTAGGTCACTATCTTCTAGTCACACTTCATTTTCTCCTTCAGGATATGCATCCATTGCATGTAAGGGAAATACTGAGTTTATTCCACTTTGAACTTTCATCTTGACAGAGTGGGCTGTAGATTTTGGCTGGCAAAAGCTGGCTCCTGTGCCAGCCAAAATATTTAAAATATGAATTTATCTTTTTTTCAAATCAAATATATTTTTTAAATTTAATTTTCCCATCACCATTTATCCCCTCTATGCCCTCACCTACCCTCTTCTCCTCAACCCACTGCCTCCCACAATCACCACACTGTTGTCCGTGTCCATGAGTTCTCTCTCTCTCTCTTTTTTTTTTTTTGCTCAATCCTCCCCCCTCATCTCCTACCCTCTATCAGAGCTGTCTGCCTACTCTCTATCCATGAGTCTGTCTCTATTTTGCTTGGTGTTCAGTTTGTTCATTCCATATATAAGTGAAATTTCACATATGATACTTGTCTTTCTCTGACTGGCTTATTTCAGTTAGCATAACGGTCGCCAGGTAAAAATAAATAAATAAATAAATAAATAAAAGATAAATTTCTATTCACTCCATACAAAAATGTAGGGAACTGAAGAACATAATTTTTGCTGACATAGCTTACAATGTTCCTGAATCCCAAAGCCGGTTGGCAGAAACCAGAATGCAAAGGACAAGCAACACCTATCTGCTGTCTAACCCAGTACACCACCAGCATGGTTGGGCATATGTTGGTATTTATAATGCTGAATAACAGGTTTATGTCTGGTATGTACATATTTAAGGCTGAAATAACATGAACAGTTTACAACATAATTTTAAGTGGAAAAAAAGCAGCATCAGAGTTGAATATAGAATGTGATTATTTCGATGGGGGGGGCGGGGGGGGGGAGGAGAAACACAAAAATGCTAATGTGAAAGAATTGGGTGGCAAGCAAAAAACGATTTGTTTCCTTCTGATTTTACTGATTTTCTTTATTGGGTAATGATAATGATACACTAGCCTGAAAATTCCCAAATTGTATAAAATTGCTTTAGTTCACAATGATTGCTCTAAACCTAACCTATCACCTGTGGTACAGAACTTGGTATGCTTCAGCACAGTTGCCTTCATAGCAACAAGACTTGTACCTGAGATTCCCTTCCTGGCGATTACTGGTTGCCCACACCAGGGCTCCTGCTGCCCCTGTTTCCCGGGCGCCCCGTAGACATTGGTACTGTTTATGGACGCTGGTAACCTTGGGGTGGGGAGCCTTCCTGTCTCTCCTTACTGCAGCTCTGCCGGTTCCTCCGCAGCCCGGAGGCACCGGATGCTGACGCGGAGACTGGACTTACCGTGACCCTCTCACGTGCTGGTGGATGAAGTCAGCATGAAAACGCGGGACTAGGGGGTCCTTCTCACCGTGCACGATTAAGGTGGGGCACTGAACCAGGGGCAGCAAGTGCCGACAGATATTACCTGAAACACAAACGCACGAGAGTGGGCTTTAATGCGACCACTCCACAAGCGTAAGCGAAGCGAGAGCTGGGCAAGTCAGGCCCGTCTTAGGACCCAGGGTCCCGTCTGTAAAATCAGTGGTTTAAATTAGATGCGGTCTGAGGCGCCTTCCAGCTCTGACATTCTTTGGGTTTCCTTTTCTGTTTCTCTGCTGGGTGTTTTGTTTTTTCTCTTCTTTTCTTTTAAAGCTCTAGTAGCGAACAGTTTTGCCTGATTTAAATGCATCATCCATGTAAAACAGTAAGAAAAACAAACAAACAAAAGCCCACAACTCTTATATTACATAGCGGCAGTTCCCAGTTTGCAAAACCACGGTAGGTGCTTGGCGTCTGAAAAGCATCTGCTGTGATACAATGGCTTAGGTGGTCCTTGGGGTCCCAGTTAGCCCTCAAAGCCTATATACTTGACAGTGAACTTACAATTTACACAGCTTCTCTCATCCCTCCTGCCTTTGACATTCTGACTGACCGACTTTTGAGAGATGATAAGCTCCTCACTCCCACTTTTAACAACATTTCTGAGGCAAATATGGCACAGCCTGGGCTCCAGCCCCTGCCTCCCCTCCTCCCCCTCTCCCCCCCTGCAGTCTCAGTGGCTCCTCAGCCACTTTGAGCTTCAGCCTTCTCCTCTGGTCAAACAGGATTAACCCCAGTTCCCTGGGTGGCCAAGAGGCCAGGAAGAGAAGCCAGAGCTCAGGTTTCTGGCACCAGCAGTGGCTCCACAAAGCCAGCACCTCCTTCTTCCCTTCCTCAGCCTGTGCCAAGCAGAAAGCTCTGCGGCTCCAAGAAGCTGGGGGGCAGCCCGGGGTGCTGTCTGGGCACCTGCCTCTCCCCTCCTCTCAGTAGGGGTGGACCAGGGAAATACTGCTCTAGGTCACCGACGCTTCCCTCACCTTCCCCTGGGATGACACGCACCTGCCAACTGTATACTCAGATAATTAAAGTGCTATTACTGAGTGCTCATTGTCTGTTAGGAACTGTTCAAATTATTTAATACCCACAAAACACATGGTAGTTACGTCTTAACTCATTTAGTATGTAAATCAAGTACTTTTATTAAGCACTTCCTCTGTACTTGGGAGCGGACCAAAGCTGAACATATATAACTCATTTAATCCTCAAAACAACTGTATGAGGTAGTTATTAGTATCTCCAGTTCTCAGACAGGAAGCTGCAGCTTAGAGAAGCAAAATGATGTGCCGGCATCCATTCTAACAGCAAGCCAAGTGGCAAAACCAGAATTCACACTCAGGCCTGCCTAACTCCACATCTGTGCAATTAATCCCTATGCTAGTCTGAGTGTCCATAAACTTGATTGTACAACCATGAAAAAGGGCTCTTGTCAAATTAGTACAGAAAGGGGATGAGTAGTTTATTAACAATCTTGCCATAACACAGTTGATATACACTGCTAGATGCTCCATCTTATGAGATTTTTTTCACTCCCTTTTTCTTTTTTAAAGATAGATTTTACTGTTTAGAGTTTTAGGTTTACAGCAAAACTGAGGGAAAGGGACAGAGATTCCCCACAACTCCCCTGCCTTCACACATGGCCTCCCCCATATCAACATCCCTGAGTGGTACATTTTTACAGTGAATGAGCCTCCACTGACATCATTTTCGCCCAAAGTCCACAGTTTTCCTTAGGGCTCATGCGTGGTGTTGATCAAACGATGGGTGTGGACAAATGCATAATGACATGTCCAGTATGGCAGCACACAGAGCATTTGCACTGTCCCAGCATCCCTCTGGTGGCTGTTCAATAGGTGAAGAGGGGATCACATTGTTGTTTGGCCCAGCTTTTAATTGGATTGTTTTCTTATTGTTCACTTTTAAGAGTTCTTTGTATATTTTGGGTAAAGTTCTTTTGCACATGGGTCTTTTGCACATATTTCCTCCCAGTCTGTGGCTTGTCCTTCCATTTTTCTGACAGTACCTTTTGCAGAGCAGCAGTTTTTAATTTTAATATGTACAGGACATATTTTTAAACTGCTCATTTAATTCTGCTTCTACCTTTGAGAAATTTTACCTTTTCACTACTCTCTTCAAGAAAGCATAGAAGTCTGCATGTCACAGTCACCTTCTTTAGTGGAGAACTATCTCAGACATTGTTGTACAGCGTTTTTTGTTTGCTATCAGAGCTAGGGGAAATAGATTTCAAGGACCTGCTTCTATGAGTGGATATTGCTTTCGAACAGGAGATACTGGCTGTTTTGAACTTAAGCCAAGAAAGTAACATTTCCAAATGTCCTTTTCATTGTGAAAGTTTTGACAGATGACTCATTCTGGAAATTATTACTTAAGAGATCAAATTGGCCCTTCAATAACAATGATTTTATACTGAATGTGCCCTAAGATTAGATCTTAGCTATTCTCTATTCTTTCAGCAATTAAAAAAGAAAAACAAGAAATTACAAATGTAAATATCTATACAAAACACTTTAATTCAGAATTTCACTTAAAGATGTCAATTCTTACTGTAATTGGAAATCATTAATTTTTCAGATAAAGACAGGAAGACATCGATTAGGGCTAAAGTCATATAACTTAGTTCTGAAGATGGGAGAAGAACTGAACACTCTTCCTCATGCTAATTCTGCAGAGGCTGCCGGTCACGACTGAAAGTCCCTCCTTCCTTGTCCTGGGGTAACTCATCTAAATGGGCAAAGAGAAAAAAACGTGGTATGTGCTGCAGCTTGTTTGTGTTCCAATTCCTCATTCTGAAGTTAGAAATAAAGATTCTTGGAGGCTTCTGGATAATTATTTTGAGGAAGAAAGAACAGTCTGCTATTAAAGACCTTTATACTATAGACACTCTGTCTAGCTGAAGTGGATTTAAAACCTAAGAACTTGCATGTACACAGTCACTAGTACCCTCTGTTCCTACGTCAGTGTGTAAGGATCGTGGGCGAATGCATTCATCCCTGAGGGATTCTGGAACATCAGGGAGGAACTCAGGCCACCTCTATAATCAGCAAAGGAACCATAAATAGTTCATGTAACCTACCATCCGGAAGATGTTTAAACTGTTTTATGCCATCCACCCACTTTTCACAGGTTTTTGCAAAGTAGTCATACCCATATAGGGTTTCTAGAGGCTTTTTTGCTTTCTCACTCCACTTAGAAACATCTCGGATACCTGAAAAATAGTAATGTGAACAAGGAAGGATAGGTTTAGTGTCATAAAGTTTATCTGTAAATATTCCAAGCACAGTCCAGCTCAGAGCCACTGTCTGCTCTCTATTGCCAAGAACGCTTCCCCAGGTTCCTGTATAGCTCACTCCTCACTCCATCTGGGTCAGCGAGGCCTTCCCTTCCGACCAGCCTCCCTCCACCTACTCCACTTAGCACTTACCACTTCTTTGCAGTTTTTCTGTGTCCATGGCTGAGTGTCTGTCTCCCAACTAGGATGTAAGCCCCAGTGTAAGGCACTCTGCTTTGTTTTGTCCCCCACTGTACCCCCAGGGCCTGGACCAGTGCTTGGTCAAAATAAGCAACAATAAATTCTTACCAAGTGAGTGAAGTCAGATCTGCAGTTAATGCTTTCTGTTAAAGGTATACAATTGAAAGATATTCCTCTAATTAGGGTCATCTGAGTAAGGGTGATGTTATTTACAAAAGAGGGTGTTTTTCTGAATTGTGTTTATGTACATTGAGAAATGCACACACATTTTTTATTCTAATTCCTGCTACTGAAGAAATATGGGTGTAAAAGGCTGAATACTAACTTCAAACTATACTGCAGATGATTCACTATTACAAAAGGAAATAATAGTTAAAAACCACCTTTAAAATAAATAAACACATTTAATTACGTAGCCTAATCTTTTCCATAATTCTTTAAATACACTGAGATACAGATTCTAATCCTCCTGAGCATATCAAATATTGCTCACCTAGAGCTTTCAATACAGCACTCCTGCTACAAGATGCACCTTGAAGACAAGCCAACACTAATAATGAGAATTCACATTGAACAAGATCTTAGCACTCAGACCTGGCAGATGCCCAATATATACTCAGTGAATGGAAGTAATGAAATGGGGGAAACTGCTACTTACAGCTATAACTGCCTTCTAAGGAGGGAAGGTCCTTCTAGAGCCTGCCTTTGTTCTGCTGATTGGTTTAAATCTGGAGGTAGAAATTCTCTGTGCAAAAGTGAAAAGACTCCAGAGACGGCTGTAGAGAGGAACCTAAAAACTAAGAGGTGGGAGGAGATTTGGGAAGAAGAAAAAGGAAAGTTGAAAGGGGGGAAGAGGGGGGTAAGTGGATGGAGAGAGGTACTAGCAAGATCATGTGAAGATGGCCAGTTAAAAATTCCCTGTACAGAGAGAACCACGATGGCGGCACAGGTGAACACCTATACTTGCTGCCTCTCACAACCACATCAAAATAACAACTAAAAGGCAGAACAACTACCACCCAGAACCGTGGGAAAGCTGGCTGAGTGGAAGTTCCACAACTAGAGAGGTGAAGAAAGCGCATTGAGACTGGTAAGAGGTGCGGAGCGTGGAAAGTGCTGCCACCTGCATGTGCTGCTCTTTTAACCGGGAGGGAGATACAAGCTTCCGCTTGCTCTGAACTCCAGTTACGGGCGAGACTCGGGGGGACCCAGACACATACGAGGAGAAACTGGACTGTATGGCACTGGGACAGGAACTCGAGGACAGCTTTCTCTCAGAGGTGCTCACAGCGATCATTGTTCCTGCACGGGGGCGTGGGCCGCTGAGATCCAGGGACCTCTCAGGCGCAGGGCTGACTAGCAGCCATTGCTGTTTGCTCTGCCCTGGTGATTCCCAGAGACCCCGCCCCACCCAGTTTAGAACCCCACCCAAGCTGTGCATTGGCTTTTGCATATGAATGGCCCGTGCTCCCTCCACCTAAAACCTGTTAAACTGCAGCTGGGTCAGAGAGCCCCAGAGCTTCCAAAAGAAGACCCAAGGCTGGCAGCAGCAGCCTGCCTTGCTTCACAGCTGGACCTTGTCTGGGCATTTCCAAACCCCATACAAAGAGGAGGAATCTGCAGATGTCTCTGTAGCTCCTGCTAGGCCCATGGTCAGCAAACTGCGGCTCTTGAGCCACATGAGGCTTTTTGGCCCCTTGAGTGTGGCTCTTCCTAAGCCTTAAGAGTACCCTAATTAAGTTAATAACAATGCACCTACCTATATAGTTTAAGTTTAAAAAATTTGGCTCTCAAAAGAAATTTCAATCATTGTACTGTTGATATTTGGCTCTGTTGACTAATGAGTTTGCCGACCACTGTGCTAGGCGGTCCCAGACAGTGGCTGACCTTGCACCTCCTTGGAGATCCAAGAGCCAGTGTACCAAGTGGTCAGAGTGAGACCATACCAGATTACAACTCTTCACATCCATAAGAGACACACTCACGGGGCAGACTCAGTGAGCACCAAAGCCCCACTGAAGCAAGTCCTGCTCCAAAAGGGTGTCTCCTACGCAACAGATCTTCCAGTGTAGACACAGCTGGTCATCACAGTCAATTGGCCTGGAGGTCAATTCCTCCCAGTGATACCAACAGCAATCAAGGGTTAACTACAACAAGACTGTGCAAACAGCCCACAAAGGTGTGCATCAAGAGCATCCACCTCAGGTGACTGAGGAGGCTGAGCCACTGGGCCCTATAGGACACCTACCACACAAGGCCACTCTATCAACTCAAGGAGACTTAGCAGCTACCAAGTACATAGAAACAAACACAGGGAAGCAGCCAAAATGCAGAGACAAAGAAACAAGTCACAAATGAAAGAAATGGATGAAAGCAAAATACTGGATATAGAGTTCAAAACCACAGTTATAAGGTTACTCAAGAATCTTCTAGAAACCTCCGAGAAATTTAGTAAGACCCTCAAGGATATGAAAAAGGACCAATCAGAAATTAAGCATACACTGACTGAAATAAAGAATAATATACAGAGATCCAACAGCTGACTAGAGGATCCCAAGAATCAAGGCAAAGATTTGAAATACGAAGAAGCAAAAATCACCCAACCTGAAAATCAAAAAGAAAAAAGAATCCAAAAATATGAAGATAGTGTAAGGAGCCTCTGGGACAACTTCAAGCATACCAATATCTGAATTATGGGGGTGCCAGAAGAAGAGAGAGCAAGATGTTGAAAACCTATTTGAAGAAATAATGACAGAAAACTTCCCCTACCTGGTGAAAGAAATAGACTTACAAGTCCAGGAAGCGCAGAGAACCCCAAACAAGAGGAATCCAAAGAGGACCACACCAAGACACACCATAATTAAAATGCCAAGGGCAAAAGACAAAGAGAGAATCTTAAAAGCAGCAAGAGAAAAACAGTTAGTTACTTACAAGGGAGTACCCATACGACTGTCAGCTGATTTCTCAACAGAAACTATGCAGGCCAGAAGGGAGTGGCAAGAAATATACAAAGTGATGAATAGCAAGAACCTACAACCAAGATTACTCTACCCAGCAAAGCTATCATTCAGAATTGAAGGTCAGATAAAGAGCTTCACAGACAAGAAAAAGCTAAAGGAGTTCATCACCACCAAACCAGTATTATATGAAATGCTGAAGGGTATTCTCTAAGAAGAGGAGGAAGAAGAAAAGGGTAAAGATAAAAAATTAAGAACAACAAAGTGACAACAAATACATATCTATCAACAAGTGAACCTAACAATCAAATGAATAAAAAACCTGATGAACAGAAGAAACTGGTGAATGTAATAGAATCAGGAGCATGGAAAGGAGCAGACTGACAATTCTCAGGGGGAAGGGGTTGTGGGGGGTTCGGGAAAAGATTGGACAAAGAGCTTATACCTATGGACGAGGTCAGTAGGGGGGTGGGGGAGAAGGCCTGGAGTGGGGTGGGAACCGGGTGGAGGGGAGCTAAGGGGGGGAAAAAAAGAGGAACATCTGTAATAATCTGAACAATAAAGAAAAAAAATTCCCTGTACATGGGATCTACTCAGCCATAAAAAAGAAGGAAATCTTACCCTTTGCAATAGCATGGATGGACCTGGAAAGTATTATGCTAAGTGGAATAAGCTAGCCAAGAAAGACAAGTACCATATGATTTCACTCATATGTGGAATCTAATGAACAAAATAAACTAATAAAATAGGAACAGACTCATAGATACAGAGAACAGACTGTCAGCTGTCAGAGGAGTCGGGGGTTGCGGGGCTGGGTGAAAAAGGTGAAGGGATTAAGTAATAAAAAACAAAACAATTCATAGGCACATACAACAGTATGGTGATTACCAGAAGAAAAGGGGGGTGGGGAAGGCTTTAAAAAGAAATTTAAAAAATATTCCCTGTAAATTTTTTTTGGGGGGGGCTATACAGCAGACCATACCCTCTGAAAGGTCCTCTTACAGTGAAACAACTAGATCTTTAAAATGTTTGTTTTTGCTGCATTGTTGGAGTTGTAGTAATTAATGAACTAGAGTATGAATGTATATGAGTATATATGTGTATGTGTAAGAGAAAGTGAACCCTGAAAATAGAACAAAGAGCTGCTTTTGGGGAAATGTGACTATTAGCTGGGGTTGGGAGGGTGGAGCTGAACCTGAGACTCCTGGGCTGAACCTGAGACTCCTGGGTTGGCTGAAATGAAACTGGCCCGCCTGGTCCGACCCTGTGGTTCCCAGGAGTAGCGAATGCACATGCTCTGTGGAGGAAGCATTCTCAATGACACTCACTGGTCTTTCCTGTGGTTCCCAGAGTAAGAATAAGCAAATACTCACTCCTAATCGAGATCCCAAAACAATCAGAATCTTTACGAAGCTAAAGAATAAACTTAAAAGAGAAAGTTTAAAAAATTATGCAGAACACCACACCGAGAGATAGGAAGATGAACAAGAGGTAGGGAAGATGAAAAGACAAGGTCTACAAAGTCCAACCAGTCCCAGAAAAGTAAGAGAGAAGGAGAATGCAGGCATGCAAGACTTGAAAGAAACAGGCAAGACTGTTTTTTAGAACTGATAAAAGAGGAGAGTCCACAGTCAAAAATAAAATGTAATCCAAATCAGAGAAATAAAAAGAAGCCACACTTAGACACAGAATAGTAAATCAGCAACATATCAAAGAAAAAGAGAAAATCTGAAAAACAGGTAGAGATCAGACACATCACTCCACAGCAAGGAAATTAAA